TCTTCAATTTTAGCTTTAGACCCAGACTCTTGTACAATTGGTATGTTTACTACTGGGACGGGGAGGGGGACGAAAGGCCCATTGCTTATGATAAGACAAGCTGGATTATACAAAAATGACCCAATCGTGGCACGCGCCAAAAAAACAGTTACCTGCTCACAAAGCTGTTGATGACTTCCTCTTTTGAACAAGTTGATGGTGGGCTAGAATTCTTGGCATGTTCCAGTACCAGATTACCATCGAAACGAATAAGTGAGTCGTAAAGGGATTAGTTATCACACCGGCAGAAACAGCTCCTTAATTTTTACCATAAGAGCACTGCTCTTCGTCGATGTGCCATGATCGCTAGTTATGCAATTAAGAAAGATTAAACACCACAGATTAAGGCTGCTAGATAAACTCTGATCATGGTAAAAATGTATTAAACTGATAATAACTTGAATTTAAGGTTTCTGGCATCAGCAGAAGCTGTCTTATCAAAAGAAAAACTCAATTCACTGAAAGCACTTGTTAACGATTTTGCAACACATGAGGGGCCAGGTGAGTGACTGTTTTGAATGTGATATTTTTGCATAGCAAATATACATGCGATTTCTTCTGCTTTTTTTAGCCAGTAAAATTGGGTTTTTTAGACATTTTACAAATGTATTTTTCTTTGAACAGACCCGTTTCCTTAGAAAAAAAATTTTCATTTTGTTTATTTTATCAACACCACAACCATCGTACTGACTAGGTCCAGTCGTGCTTCTGAATAATTTGTGCGACTGAATGGACCGAAACATTCCTGTTCGTCTAAGTTTTTAGTAAAATTTTGTATTTTTATGTATCATGGTATCTGTATTATACTGCTCAACTTTAGGCGTGTTTCATTCTCTGCTGCCTTTCTCCTTCATTATTCTCATTTGTTAAAATTCCTATAAAACTATTCTCCTTACTTTTCTCATTACAGTCTTTGTTAATGTCTCGTTTTTGGGATTAATTCTATACTTGTTTTGTTCGAATGAGTTGGGCATTGAGCTAAGTATGAAGAGAAATGCATGGTGGGAAAATCTCGCTGTTTTGTTGATGTTTTTCCCAAAATTAGCTAAGCAGTACTGTGAAAAAGGCTTTTTCCAAAAAGTTCCGTTCTAGGAAGTGAAAAAACATGAAATACCACGCTTGCTGAGAAGAACAAGTTAATTTTCCCAAATAAGTCGCGGAAGGACGCACCGTAGGTGTCAGCAAGTTTACAGTGCATCTCAATTAAGAAGCTGGAAAATCAGAATGACACAAATGAAGCGATTTTTTACAAAACACAAAGAAAGATTACAAATCTAAACGACAGAGATTTTGCTACTCACCACGAAATTCCTGAGTAATTCAGAGGAATTGGCAGCTCAAGTATCAAAATTGCAGAACTACAACGGGAGCTTGTGCTGCACGACCAGAGAAACCTACAAACAAGCTTCATCTCGGAACCATGGTTCGATGTGTATCTCAGCGATCGTGCACCATGCCCGGTCAACTATAACCCCTTCATGGTATATGCACCGGACCCGCAAAAAGAGTACAATGATCAGGTAAAATTTTATGTATTTCCGGTCTTACGCTGTGTGAAACACTATTAACTTAGTAGAACCTTTAAAAGTTTCCTTCTGCCACGGTGGCTTTTCGCCCTTTGTTATTGTAGTTTGGTACCAAGCAGTGGTCCATTTTGTCCATCTGTTGTCTCTTGGTACGCCACATTTTAGTTCCAAAGAGTGGCACTGGTAACAATTGCTGGGTAAGAGTTTTCCCCGGGTTTTTATAATAGAGGTTTTAGTTAATCCAGAAATATCCATTGAACTAATGACAGTACATTTT